GATGCGATGTTTTAGTCTGGAGGCCTCGAGCCAAGAGCTTTTTTCCAGCCTGAACCCATTTCGGTCAACATTGTGTGATGGGGCAGACGGTGACTAGGCATAGGTAACACACGTCCCAGCCAACCATCTCAATCGATGAAGGTTCAAAACCTCATCAACTGATTTACCTCTTCTCCCTAAAACTCAACGCCTGACTTCTGCGTTACTCACATGGTGTGGTAACACCACGGAATACGGCCTATACTGCAAAGACATTGGTAGTCAAACGCTTGAAGTTTTTTCATGTCTTCCACCTTCAATGGACATGTTTCACAGCCATACAGTAAAACAGAGCGAACTGCTGTGTAGTACGTTCGGATATCACGGTGGTGCCACAGGTGGCGTAAGTTGGCAAAAGCCAACCAAACCTTTTGTGTTCGTGCAGAAATTTCATCGGCCACTGAGCCATCAGGGCAGGATTAATCCCACTTCCCAAGTAAGTGAAATGGTCAACACATTTATCCACCACACTATTGCTAGCCGAGGCACCGTTGAATAAAAATCCTGGAGTATCAGTTTGCATCTGGATGGTGAGAAACACATCCCAAACATTCCCAAATCGCCACTCAAAGTGTCCAGAAGACTCTGCATCTTGTCAGCGTCTTCATCTAACAGGACTATGTCTCTTGAGTATGTCCTAGGTCTAACGAAAATTCTTCCGCGATTAGACCAACCTCTGTGTAATCAGGTGACGAGAGGGAGACTTCCATGGGAATATCTATGGTAGAATTGAATAAGAATGGAGAGAGTAGGCAGCCTTGACTGACATCACTCGACGAGTACAGCTCCCCGGATATCTAACCATCGGCTCTAACACGTCTACAAGTGTTCGACTAGAGAGCCTTCAACAAGGTGGTGTAGTTACTCGGCACGCCTTTCAGTGAGATACATTGGCACAAGGCTTGTCGGTCAACGGAGTCGAATGCCGCGGCCTTCACGTCGAGAAATATAGTTATTGTCGGGTGTCGGTAAGCGTGCCTGTATTCCGGAGCCTGTTGTAGTATGAATATTTGGTGAATATACCCGCGGCCGGGTGTAAAGCCTGACTGGTTTTCTTCGTCTTGCTGTTCCCGAGCTCCACTCAGGTGTCAAAGAATTATAGAGCCTAGATACCATTGCAAAAACAACCAATCACCTGTTTTGCTGTAGATTTTCTTACATTCCTTATATCTTATGAGCATACCTTTGTTTATGTATTTTGACTTTTACATCACTCCTTACGTTTATCAACTTACAACCGGATGAAATACTCAGATTTATCATCCATTTGATTCATCTACAAATTCAGCGATGTTTCTCGTGAGCTGACTTCTTTCTCCATATGCTAATATTCTCTCTGATTTTATCTACTGGCTAACTGTAAGCGGAGATTGCTACCAGAGTGTGTTCGAGAGCGTATTCCTACCTGTTTTTATAAGAGTAAAAGAAAATCCATTAGAAGTTCTATCCTTGAACACTTAATCGATTACAATCATTCAACCAATCACTGACAATAATTCTAAGGTTGTCTATCAAATTCGCTCAAACATCTCATGTTTCTAAAAACAGCAGAGGCCTTTACTATCCATAAACTGAAGCCTGATGTTTGTGTGTACAGTCTTCGTCTCAACCTTGACGGTAACTTATTTTGGTCTTGGTGTGCTTCGTCCCCCTTTTTCCGTTTTTTTAACTTCCCCCTTTTCTTAGGTTAATCTTTGTACCCTTATATTGTCATTAAATCGTCACAACTTTTAGGAAAACATTTTCATTTTATCTCCGTTAATGTGTCTCATTCATATTACCTAATTCTGAATGGCTAGTACTTCAGTTATACTCAAATGCCTTGATTTTATTGCCTTCAAGTAGTTTAATCGAACCATGTTAGGGAATTTTAAATGAGTGGTCTGAGTTCACAAGGTGTTGTTCTGTTATTAAACTGAAGCCACATTTCCATTCTCTCTTTGCCAGCCAGGCTGCGCTGGCAGCGAAGTATGTCCTATTTAAAGATTTTGACAGTCTTTTCCTGAAGATGTCTTCAGTAATGTTATTTTTGAATCCATGGTTCAGGAAAAGAATCTTTTTCGGTCACAAATTTGTTCATTCAGTTGGTTTTTTTGGCTTTATATTCTTGTCTACGAATCTAGGTGCGATACCGTTTCCTACTAGAGTTATCCGAAGATTTCACATTTCTCTGGCAACTGTGTCCTCGGTAAATATTTTCCTGATCCTCGAGGGAATTGAATGGATAAGATTTCTCTTCCTACATATATGGTTTTAACTTTAAAAATTAATAAACTGTTCGTTCCATGTAGGCTTTCTGTAAATTGACCGTACTATAGGTTCGCTGGTAAAACGTCCTAGCTAACACTACACAACCTGGGTAGCAGAAGGGGAACAGGAATGTTTCTTCAGTTCAGTAACAGAATACTTTGTCTGTCTGTTAACTCCACCATGTTTTCATCCCTATGTAATGCATATGCACTCGATGGACGATTTAAAATCTGATGTAACCCGTTTTTATTATCATTGTCTTCATGTCACCAACTAGGAGCACTATTATAACTTTTTATCCACCCATACATCCAGCTGATGAATCCTAAATAGGACAAAATACGCGTTCTGGATAGAAGCACTAACTGACTTGACTGAATTGGTGTTTAAAATGCGGATTTTGTTAACGCTTTGTGTTGAGTGCAGAAGATCTCCAGACTGGTTTCAGGTTAATGAACGCGTGTCTTGCTGTGTTTCTGATCGTGTCTGTCTTTGACGTCTTTGTCTGTACCGCTTGTGATTGAGAGGGTGCTGCCTTGCGTGAGTAGGTGGTAGAGACTACTTCCTTTAGGTTTCTCCGATTGATGGTGATTGGAGTTTGTTGTTGTTGTTGGTTGGGTATCACCATCACCTCTGTCTTCTCTATGTTCATTTGAATTCCCGTCTTTGCTGCCCTGTCTGTTCTGTCAACTTGTTGGATTTTGCCTGTAGATCTTCGAGTTTGTGTGACATTAGACACAAGTTATCGGCGAAATCCAAATCTTTTTGTATCTTTTCCCCGGTGTATTGTATGCCCCTCTTCTCGTTCCTCACTGTTTGTTGCATGATGCAGTTGACGACAATGAGGAAGATGATTGATGATAGTAGGTGACAGCCTTGTCTTGCTCCTATCTTCACTTCGAAGGCATCACTGAGCTTCCCATTGTGAATTACCTGGCATACAATCTGGGCAGCCTTGCTAGGTTCAAACATGGTGCAGACATTCCATGTCCCCATGTTTACTTTCGCTTTCATTGACAGAAGACACCGGCTAATTGTCTTCCCGAAGGCTTTTACCAACGGCATCATTTCGTCTCCCCTGTTCCAGCGTAGAATAAGTTTGTTTTTATTTCCTATATTTTATCTGTGCTTTGAAGTTTCTGTAGCGGTTAGATTTGTTTTATGGGGTAGGGATGTTAGCCCTACATCCAACCTTCCCTCTTTATGTGGGCTTAGGACAGGCTAGTAACTAGTAAACTAGTTAACCAGGCGAGGTATAGGTGTTGTGTTATTTCTATTACATGTGTTAGCTTGGTGTTGGCTAATTTGATGAACAAGGACTCAGTAATCGATGTCCTTCATTTCTCCACCTAACTGATCCCGACCGGCTAGTTTGACCTATGTACCTGGTCTAACTCATAGTCATTACTCGATTACTCTGCTTAATTAGATCTATTAGATCCTTAAGCCAATCAATAAAGTGAATGAGTTTGTAGGTTTAAATGCCACCCTAATTCCAGCTTTGTTGAGGATCCTATCTAAAGTTTCTGATGTACATTCCTTATGGGTAAGTCAGTTGACGAGGTTATGAACCTTCATCGACTGAGATGGTTTGGACACGTACTACGTATGCCTAGTCACCGATTGCCTCGTCACACAATGTTGGCTGAAGTAGGCCCAGGCTGGAAAAAGGCCCGAGGTGGCCAGACTAAAACATGTCACCAATGTATGAAGTCTCTGACTGTTGGTTTAAGCCATGTAGGACGATGCAGACTAGGTGGTTGGGGTTGGCGGGACAAGAGGAACCAGTGGTTGGAGACCCTAGGTGATATGGCTGAGAACCGATGTCAGTGGCGCAGATGTATACACACATTATCCTCATCTTAACGATGCTATACCGAATCTCACCATTTTGTCACTCCTCTTTCCTTTCTTTCTTCTCGTACTTTGTATTTCTTTTGACTGCATTCACTTATCTTTATCCTTCACCTCACTACCTTTCTACTTGATGAACTGATGTGAGGTGTGGCAACTCGGACCGTTACGCAATAATGCCTGGTCCTATGTTGATAATGATGATGGGTTAACACAGTGCGGGCTGTGAACTCCTTTCTACTCGTGTCACTGTTATTATTCCAGTTCTTGTGTGTTCGTACGAATTTCTTAATAAACTGGGAAGGATAATTATTAACTATTAGCGCTTCTTTTACGTGCTTCAGTTCCTTCGTTAGTTAGTTAGTTTTCTAGCTCTATCATTTAGACATGTGACTAAACGTGCCTTCACTGACTGACTGACTGACTAACTGATTGACAGACATTGAATGAGATGACTTGAAGTCTAGATACTTGTTGGAAGGTGTGGGTTTCCTGTAGACGGTAGTATCCAAAGCACCAACGTCTATCCTTGGTTTTATCCTGCAAGGAAACATGTGTAATTCTCCTTGTTCATTTTCTATCTCCTCGTAAGTGAATTGGATTGCACTTACTACTGAGTTTATGTGATGTTTGAGAAAATTATCGACAGATGTTTCGATTTCAGCACAATAGTAAATATGTTATCCATATATCGCCATCATATCTTAGATACAGGATTAAACGTTTGTAAAGCTATGACTTGTCAACTATTCATAAATATATCCGTTATGATTGGTAGGAGTTCTCTTCACTGAATATCTTATTTTTGCATATAACCCTCTAGATGGTTATAATCCCCAATGATCTCTATATTTCAGACTATAATGTTAAATAATACTCATTATTTATAAATATAATGGGACGTAGAAAAATTGAAGTTCGGAAAATTGAAGATAAAAACAAGTGTGTGGTAAGCAATCTTTTGTACAATATAAATTATTTTCTTAAAACAACCAAATATAGGCCACTTTTCGTAAACGTCGTGATGGTCTTTTCAAAAAAGCCTTGGAACTTCATCATCTAACTGGTGCAGAGATTATGCTCACTTTAGTGTATAATAAATCAAAGTATTGCTTCAATTCTCATGGGAATGTAGATCAAAGCAATAAACTGGTCAATACATTTCATTATACTAAACAGTTTCAATTCAAGGTTAGTGTTATTTGATATATGTATATATGATATATATGTATATAAGTAGATGCATCTCTGGATACGAGATCATTTACTAGCTTGTTTCAATCAGTCAATCAATCAATCAATCAACATAGGACCAGGCATTACTGCGTAACGGTCCGAGTTACAACACCTCATATGAGCACATCAAGTAGAAGGGCAGTGATGTGAAGTATGAAGATAAGAGAATGCAGTCAAAAGAAATATAAAGTACTAAAAGAGAGAAAGGAAGAATGAGAAAATGATGAGGATCGGTATAGCGTCGTGTGTGTGTGTGTGGGGATACATGTGGACCACTGACATCGGTTCTCAGCCATGATACATCACCTAGAGTCTCCAACCACCACTGGTTCCTCTTGTCCCGCGGACCCCAACCACCTAGTCTACATCGCTTCACATGGCTCAAACCAACAGTCGAAGACTTCATACATTGATGCCATGTTTTAGTCTGGCTACCTTGAGCCGTTTTCCAGACTGAACCTACTTCCGCCAACATTTTGTGACGAGGCAATCGGTGACTAGGCATACGTAGTACGTGTCCCAATCATCTCAGTCGATGAAGGTTCATAACCTCGTCAACTGATTTACTTCTACTTCCTAAACCTCTATACCTGACTTCTGCATTACTCACGTGGTGTGGTGACACCACGGAATACGGCGTATACTACGAAGGCGGTGGTGGTCAAACACTTGAAGCCTTCTCATATCTTCCACTTTCAATGGCCATGTTTCACAGCCATCCAGGAGGACAGATCGGACTCCTGTGCAGTACACGCGACCCTTAATAGACAATCGGATATGGTGGCAGCGCCATAGGTGGTGTAAATTGGCAGAAGCCAGCCGAGCCTTTTGTATTCGTGCAGAAATTTCATCAGCCACAGCCACCAGGGCAGGGCTAATCCCACTTCTCAAGTAGGTGAAGTGGTCGACACACTCAACCACTACACTCACTGTCTATTGTTAGCCATTAGACCGCTGAAGACCAGTCCTTGAGCAGAAAAGGGTAGATTGAAAGTGATGAAAATGTTCAGTTCTAGCGCATCTAGTCGACATATGGCATCACATTTAGGCTAATGGAAACTTTTAATGTCATTCATCTTGTTCCAAAAACGATACCACATGTCGCTTGTGAATGCCTGCTCAATATAGCGGAGGCTGTTGGAATATAATTGGTCAAGCCTGAACTGTACATTCAGAAAGAACAGATCCAAGAGTTACTTCTCCACTGGTCTTCAGCAGAATAAGGGTCATTTCTGTCATCTTATTCGTTGTGTTTTTGTTCACCATCATATCATTCTTTTGGATAATGTATCATTTCAACATTGAGTAATTTAGAGCATGGGGCTGGAAACCCGTTGGATACTGGTTCGAATCCGAATGCGGTCGAAATCTTCATTTCACCTTCAATCAGCACCCAGTATACACACCAGTCTGTCAAACTACGGTTATCTCAGATAGTCAAATGATAACTTAGAAAAGATAAATCGATTTACTTACAGTCCCTAGATTTCACACCATTTTGAAAATGTACCTGCCCCTACCTAACATTATTGTTATTATATTATTTTTCCCTTGGGTTCCTAGTAGAACATAGGGCTTCAGTAGCACGCCTCCATTGCACTCTGTTCTCTTCAGTCTTTTCAACCTCGCTCCACGACTACCCATCGGCTTTCATTTCTTCCTCACACGATCTCCTCCATGTCACCCTCACCTCGGACGACCAACTCGTCGCTTCCCATCTGGGTTTCACTCGACGACCTGGCCTGGTGCGTGATGTCCCCAATCGGCCTTCTCAGTGTATCCCCAATCCATCTCCACTCTCTTCTTATGCATATTTGTTGGGTGATAGGTTCTTGGTTGGTTTGTCACCAGACCAGAGTTCCTTGTTGCTTATTCTTTCTGTCCATCCATCTGATCTTCAGTAGCGAGCGTAAGAGGCAGTTGTTGATGAATGTCTATAGTTTGTTGGAAGTGCTTTTGTTACACGCCAAGTCTGTGAACCCTCACATAGAAGCACTAACTGACTTGACTGAATTGGTGTTTAAAATGTGGATTTTGTTTACACTTTGTGTTGAGTGCAGAAGATCTCCACACTGCTGTGTTTCCGATCGTGGCTGGCTTTGACGTCCTTGTCTGTGCCGCTTGTGATTGAGAGGGTGCTGCCTTGCTTGAGTAGGTGGAAGAGACTACTTCCTTTAGGTTTCTCCGATTGATGGTGATTGGAGCTTGTTGTTGTTGTTGGTTGGGTATCATCATCACCTCTGTCTTCTCTATGTTCATTTGAATTCCCGTCTTTGCTGCCCTGTCTGTTCTGCCAAGTTGTTAGATTTTGCCTGTAGATCTTCGAGTTTGTGTGACATTGGACACAAGTTATCGGCGAAATCCAAATCTTTTTGTATCTTTTCCCCGGTCCAATGTATACCCCTCTTCTCGTCCCTCACTGTTTGTTGCATGATCCAGTTGACGACAATCAGGAAGGTCATCGGTGATATTGGGCACCTCTGTCTTACTCCTATCTTCACTTCAGAGGCGTCACCTTACCTAACATGGCCTGTTATAATTGTAAAACCTGATTGACGAATTCTGTTGAAAAGAATATTCTTCATTGTTCAGATTGTTGCTTTTTATAAATGTTTTATAAGTTGTTATTTATCGTATAATGACATCACTTAGAGGAACAAAGGAAACCTGGAAGCACTGGACAGCTATTTCGTCCAAGTATGTAACTCCTCAGCAGTGCCCACCCACGCCCCCGCCATGGATCGAACCCTCGACCTTCAAGTTGCGTTTATAGTTGTGAAATTCAAGTCGCACAATACTAGCAAAGTATTTCAAGGGAAATATTCTCGAATAGACGAATTTTGAGACAGTTCCTTTCTCCGGATGAATGTCGATTGGATTACATGATTGGCTAGTTTCTTGTATGATTTCTTACTCATGAGAGAATCTTCACAAATCTGTCTTGTTTCTTAGTAAAGCGGTTCATAAACATATGTTCTCTTTTTATGACGTTGAATATAAAAGAAAGGACAATGGAATTGGATCAGAACACCATTGTACCATTTTAGTATAATTGCTTTTATATCATAATACCATCGTCGATTGGACCGAACTGATCTGTCTCTTTTGGCATATGGGATCCTGTGCGGATGTCTCGATGTCACCGGTGCTCTAATGGGGGTAGTAATGATGGGTTGTGGCTAGCAGTGGTAGAATCTAGAATTCGCATTTCGTCCTATTTGGGACTCACTGGTCAGCTGGACGTACCTGCTTCCCGGTGAGTGATGTTGTTCCCATCGGGATTCGGACTCGGGAGTGATTTCTTCAAACACTATTTTATTTCGTCAGTTCTTCATCAGCTGCTTATAATCTAAAACATTTTAAATGTTATTATACAAAAAAGATATACAGAATATACATTATTTCGCTTACATGAAGTTAGTTTATAACAGGAGACACAACATAGTTTAGCTTCATTTCGTCTTTTCTCCTAGTATAACTGTCACTACACAAGCACGTAGACTTGTGTACGCAATTGGAAGTAACATAAGTAGTGCACAGGTTTATGTGTATCTGTTGTGGTAGTTACATAGGGATGATAGAGAGAAGGCCACACGTTTGATTCTTTGAGCATGTATCAAAAAGTCTACATCTCAGGGGAACCAGTGTAGTCGTTTGACATCTTATTGATACAGACCATGAAGTAGGTATCTTAGAATCCTCTTTCAAGATAGTCAACTAAAACCGTGATTGTGTGTTGATGGATAACACTAGAAAAGTTGCGAAACAGTTGGAAGAATTTTGTATTTGACGATTATCTTTGTCGCACCAGTATGTCCTCTTTCACTTATTTAGTTTACGAGGTGTTCTGTTATCGAACTGAAGATGCATTTCTGTTCTCTTTTTGCAAGCTAGGCTAGGTAATGTTCGCGGACACATTTTACAAGCGGACTCATTGTACAGCTTGTAATCCTTGTAAAACGTTTCCGCTAACATTACCCAGCCTGGATTGCAAAGAGAGAATGGAAATGCATCTTCAGTTCGATAACAGAATACCTCATGAACTCAGGCCACTTAGCTCCTCTCGAGAGCTCATTCAAAATTCTCTACAGGATTCAATCAAACCATTCGAAAGTAGTAAAATTAAGACATCTGTCTATAGATGAAGCACTAGTCATCCAGAAGTTCAAACCAGCGTTTATTTGGTTTAGTAATACCATTGTGGGGCTTATGAACAGATATGGTTACATTTTCAGAAGGTATACTTCTATACTCAGAGAAGTATGGTAGAACAATGTAATTCAACAACTTTTTTATCAGGCTTACATTGTAACTAGTCAGCTGCGCCTGTTATTTGAAGGCTGATAATACTGTATAGCTTTTCAAGACCTCGATAGATGCAGCAGAGTCCTAACGTGTAATCCACTGATTGGGTTATTGTTAGTTAGGAAGGTTTTGGTACATCACTAGAATAAGTGAAATGGGTACTTATGTGATCGAAGTGCCAAAGTCGTCAATCGCCGAACAAAGAAACAGACTGGTGTATTGGCTGAAGTTGCGACGCTACACAGTAGCATAAGAAGAATAGGTGGATAGGAGGGACTGATATCAAATTCGACAAAGTTGTGTGAGATAACAGACAATTTGAGGATAACATTTCTTTTTGCAAATATTCAAGAAGATATGGATGAATGAGCAAATGTGCGCTATTGTCACCGTTTTTCAGTCATGTCATCATTGGTTCTCAATCGCTGATTTCTATCGTCTCAGGGACCCCAACCAGGCATGTAGTGCACACCTCTTTACATGGCTTACATCAAGAGTCAGAGATTTTATGGATCTGACCACCCTGAACCTTTTTACAACCTAATCCACTTTCACATCAGATATAGGAGAATAGTTGGTTGTTATTCTCCAACATTGAATACTTGGTTGCATCATTAGGTCAAGTAACTTCTACAGCAGTTACTATATAATAATGAAGCTTCAACTCACTGGTCTACGAAGTTGACTATCAACCGATAGGTCACTGGTTCGAACCCTGTTCAACTTTATTTTTTCCTCATTTGATCTAAGTAGATTCAATCTTAGTAGGTTTTTTTGTCAGTAGGTCAAGGATTTTTCAATCTCTTTCGTCATATAGTTTTATTCTACACACCTACATTATTTTCATAGTGTATACGATTCTAGACCATGTAAGAATTCAACTATAGAATATCCAGTTGTCGGGTCCTAAATAAGACGAAACGCATGTCTTCAGTTCCACTAGAAGCCACTATCTATCAGTACAATCGGAACACTAATAGGCTGTCATCAGCTTACTAAACAGTTTTGTGCTTTTACTGGTTTGGTTTATCAGTTACAAAATCAATCTGTTTATATCTTTGTGGATTTTAATGCATGAATAATTCATGAGAGAAGAAGACCTATCACCATTAACGAGAGAAATCTGAAGGAAGTTGCCTTTTTCACCTACCTAGGCAACATCATTTCAACTGCAGGGGGGACAGATGAGGTCGTCAAAACCAGGATCTGAAAGACAGCAACATAGGCCTTCCTTCATTAATCTGAAGTCAGTGTACAGATCTACTCCACTGCACAGCACTCAGCATGTGGAGCAAGATCCAGGTTTTGAACACCAACGTCATGTCAGTTCTTTTATGTAATTCAAAAACTTGGGCGTTACGAAAAGCGTTTACAACAAACAACAGACATACATGAATAGCTGTCGGCTACACTCGCTAGATACCGAAGATGGATTTCTGGCAATAAACCAACCAAGAACCCATCACCCAACAAATATGCAGAAAAAAGTGGAGATGGATTGGATTGAACATAGACTGAGAAGATAGTTCAGGGACGTCACGTTCCAGGCTTTCGAGTAGAACCCAAATGGGAAACGACGAGTTGGGCGTCTGAGTATGACATAGAGGAGATGGTGTGAAGAATAAATGAAAGCTGATGGGCAGTCGTGGAGGCATATTAAGAGGACTACATAGAAGAGAGTGAAGTGGGGACGTGTTACTGAACCCCTATGTTCCTCCAGAAGCCCGAAGGACAAATAGTAATAATACTAATAATAATGATAATCATAATATGCTCATTGCTAAAGACAACATCGAATCCTTAGACTTCCGTGAAAGTTGGTTATTTTTAGTCAGTCAGTCAGTCAGTAGATAACAACATGGGAAAACAATATTACTACGCAACGGTCCAAGTTGCCACACTTTATATATCAGAAGATTAAGCGAGAAGGCACTGAGATGAACGATTGAGAAACGATGAAGAAAGTAGCCTAAATGGTAGAAAGACGTGAGAAGAGAACAAACGGGAATGAGATAATAATACAGTTCGGTATGATGATTAATGTGCAGATAGTATATCTTTAACGACCGATTTTTGGGTAGTTTTCATTTTGCTACACAATTCAAATCAACACTGAGAGACTTCATGAACCGTTTGGATGTTTTAATCTCTCCACCTTTGACGTGTTCCTAACCTGAACCTATTTCAGCTAGTCATTTCGCAACCGGAATGGCGGTAACTAAGCATGCGTAACATATGTCCCAATTTCATCATCTGACTTACCTCTTTTACGTTGAATTTTACACCTGTTATCTACATTACTGGCTAACCTGCTAGAAGATAGAGAGAAGGGGGGGGGGGGGGGAAGAGAGAGGTCTGCAGTGCATTATACTCTCTCCTTGGTAGACAATCGGATATCATGGTAGTACCCCGTACATTGGCAAAAGTCAAGTGAGTCTTTTGTAATCTATGCCAAGATTCCTCTGGTCTTGACTTTTCTAACTTCCTAAGTAAATGAAGTAATCAATGAGTTAAACCATTCTCTTCCCTATTGTATTAGACAAGGCAACAACCTTATTTCGATAGCGTAATTAGAAGACGAAGTAGTTGTACAATACACATTTCAAACAATCTAATCACACATTTACTTGTCAAGTCAATATATATTAAACTGAGGACTGGGAAGGGGGGATAAATACAACAAACAGGAAGTGACATAGTTGGTCTTAATCTTGGTAAGAAAACATAGTTTATCAAGGTAGGTGTAGTGTAATAACATACTGTTTTTGTATACATAAAGGTGGTTTAAATTTGTGTACGGCTATGGCTTCCGCAAATCTCAGAATATGTCCTGACTGTTTCTATATAAAACTTTGAAGTGTGTTTGAACATTAACTTTGTCTTATCTGTTTCTATGATATGTTTAGCTATAGATGAAGTGGGTCGTCTCCCATCAGCGTTTATCACTGTTAAATTTTGAGGGAGTTGTGGAGATTTGGAATTATTTCAAGTTGTTATTCATCGAAGACTGACATCAGTTGGAGGAACAAAGGAAACCTGGGAGCACTGGACATCTGTTTCGTCCTAGTATGGGACTCCTCAGCAGTGCGCACCCACGACCCCACCAGCAGGGGTTGAACCCGTGACCTTCAGATTCCGCGGTCAGCACGTTACCATTGAGCCACTGGGTCAGAATCCAATGCTCCATATTTCCAACTTCTGTTAGCTCACGATATATAGCGCTAACCGCCACCCAATGTCAACGCTGAGTATCTATGCTCATGGCTATCAGGCTGGGTGGGTGCGCACTACTGAGGAGTCCCATACTAGGACGAAACAGCTGTTCAGTGCTCCCAGGTTTCCTTTGTTCCTCCAACTGATGTCAGTTTATTAGTGTTTCACACTTCAGTTTTGTTTTTGAAACCATTTAGGCACAATGTTCTCTCACCGTGAACTGCATGTATCGATAACTCCTCTCTATGTATATATGACCATACGCTATCGAAATTCATTAAAGGGATTAACTGTTTCAACTGGTTTCTTTTCTTTTTCATGTTATATATAGGCGTGTGGATCTCATCTTTCACAAGGTTGTAATGAAATCAATTGTTCATCTAAACTAAACAATCATAAGAAAAATGACAATATAAACCATTACAATGATACACCTTCTCTTGGGATAAATTTAAAGTCTGATTACTCCTGTTCAAGTAAATTCCTTTTTTTTGTTTTGTTTTCTAAAGGTTATAATTTGACAATTATCATCTTATTTCAGATGGGAATAAATTGAATTACCTACCTATGATAGAATCATTTAGTTATACAAATTATAAATCTAAACGTATGAAATTGACTAATGAAGAAAGAATGGCTAATATACGCTATTTAATTGTTGATGAATTATTTAAACGAGCATTACTTCGATTTCGTACATTATCCAAAGTATCCAATGTGAATAAGGTAGATAATCTTTTATTAATATAAATATATACTTCCTTGTTATGGTTGTTTTACCTGATTGAGAGTTTGTAGCGATGTTTAAAGTGTTCAAGTTTTAGCGGGAACAACTTCACTTATTGAAGTGTAGATATATGTCTTACTGTCATATCAAATGATATCTGATATGAATAGAAGATTTGGATTATGCCAGCGATGATGATTTATGTCTCATGTCTAATGTCGCACAAACTCGAAGATCTACAGGCGAAAACTAACTAGTTGACAGAAAAGGTGAGGCAGCGAAGACGGGACTTCAAGTGAATATAGAGAAGACACCACCGACAAGCATCAATCACCATGAACGAGAGAAATCTAAATGTAGTTGTCTCTTTCATCTACTTACCTAGGAGGCAGCATCGTTTCAACTATAGGCGGTGGCATAGTTACAGATGAGGATATGAAAGCCAGGACAGGCCTTCGTTCATTAACCTAAAATCAGTTTGGAAATGTGCCGCATTTCATTCAGCATGTGAAACAAGATCTGAATTTTCGACACTAGTCAGTCAAGTCAGTGCTTCTATTTAACCATCGAAAAGTTCAAACCAGCGTTCTGTGTCCAAAAGCGATACGTCCAACGTTTATCTTTGCCATGACCATCATAAGGTCTTGACTATCATCGATTCATTTTGTATTAGGTAACTATACGCGTATTTTCATAATCCTTTGTTTTTTTTTCCCACTCTAAAGCCAAATGTGTATTAATTAACTTTCTTTGGTTACTCAATATATTTTGAGAAATAATTCTGAAACGTTCTGCCCACTGTAACATAATATTCACGAATATACAGCTTAGCAGTAAATGATTTCGTCGAAAGGGGAAAATGTTTCTTCGCTGTAACCATGTCTTGTCTTTTCTTATGATCAAATGGGTGTATTCCGAAGTTAGACGATTGTTAACAATGCGAAAAGGTTGTCATCTGTGAAAAATCTATCTAAATTTGTATTTATAAGGTGAATGGATATTTTTTGACCGAAATAAATTTATCTCTATATATTCTGTTACTTGGATGAAGGCGATCGACCGGCAAGAAGCCCTACTCCATATACATGTCATATTTTTTTGGTACTCATCAACAAGTAATATTTACAGCCTTGACGAAACTGAGATCCCGCTTGAAATTCGAATCCGCGTAACCCAGTCACAGATGTTACTCCTGAACTATTTGAGCAGTAATGGTGGGAGATAGGTTCCTTCAGGGTTGTAGATACGTCTTGATGACGAGTGCCTCCAAACAACTTCATACTGAAGTTAGTGCTAAAAATGTCGTCTAGAAAGATGATAAAAGCTTCAGGAGTAAACAATTCAACTCATAGAACACAATACAATCAAGATCATCAACTTGAGCTACAAATATTCTCCACCATTGCAAAATTATACGAAGATGGGAGAACTTCTCCAGGAGGCAAACTTCCACAAGAGAACAACTATTCTTTCTCCATGAGTGTCTACATTAGCATATTCTACCGAAGAGTATCAGATATTATAGATCACCGATTGACTTTTCGATGGGATGGAAAATAGCTAAACAAAGTTGAAGACAAATGGTACAATTGGTGATAACAGATGTACATCATAAGATCCAGAAATATCAATTCATGATTAACAATGAAAAGAGAAAACTAGAAAGCCTACTAACGACATAACACCCTGGTAACTTTAACGATAACAATTGAAAAACAATACGGAGAACAACAAAGAAAAGCCTTCAGAATAAAGCTGCTCAAAATTTTAGAAGTAACGTAAATTCATCTCAAGAAGGAGACTTTGTTATTCTGCGTTATATATGTGGAAAATGTTCAGATTTATGTTAGATAGTATAATCATGTTTCATGCGTGTTTTTTTTTAAATCCTAGAAAGAATCATTAATCAGCCCAGTTTATAACAGTTGGACTATGTTAAGTCCATCAAGTATTATACCTAGTCGAAGGATTTCATCACATGTGATTAACTCATCGGAGAAGTCATTCTATGAAAATAATTCATCTACAGGTAACAATTTAGTTTTTTTTTTCCTCAAGGTAAGGTATATTTCGTGGTGTGTCCACATGTATAACGCAGAATTCAGGCGTTAGATGATGCTATTGTGGACTTTCATCGACTGAAATGGCTGACTGACTGGGATATGCCTAACCGTATGCCTAATCACTACCTGCCTTATCATAAAATGTTGACCAATGTAGGTTCAGGCTGAAAAATAGACTGAAGCAATCCGACTAAAACATGGTATCAATGCATAAAATCCTTAACTGTTCATTTGAATCATATGGGGTTGATGCAGGTCTACGGGACAAGAGAAACCAGTGGTCGCAGACTGACTGTTCGTGATATGGCTAAAAACCGACGTCAGTGGAGCATCTTAACCGCTATACTTAATCTTATTTTTCGTTCCTCTATTTTACTACTTTCTTTCATCGATTTTTCTTTCCTTCCTCAACAGTATGCACACATACTCATACCAGAGATAGAACTCAGGACTTTGAAGTCTCATGGCGAATATGTCAACTATTCAGTCACTGAGTTGAAGTTCAATGGTTCAATTCATAATATAGCAGAACTATCCACCGAGGTCTTCAGTTAGCATTCACATCATCTCAAACTGATTGACTTTATACGTCACGGCTTCTTATTATGAGTACTACATATCCATCTCTAAGCCTGTAACTAATAACTAATGAGTATTTTTCTTTACTTCAAGTTAGTATTCATTGCATTCTGCTGATGCAATCGCATGCTAGGACGAACCAACTGTCAAATACTTTCAAGTTTTCAATGATTTTCGAACTGATGACAGTTCTTGATGAATATTTTTGTCTTCATGTGATGAAGGATTAGCGTGATTGCGTTTACGAATGGTAACAACCGTTCTATTTTTTCCTACGGGATCATTGGTAGTCTATTCATTTCAGGTGAATAATAATAAATATTTCAGTGAGCATATTTCATTGCACAATGTTAGCTGAAGTAAGTTCAGACTGGAAAAAGACTCTACCTGGCTTAACTAAATCATGATATGAATACATGAAGTTCTTGACTGTTGCTTTGAGTTGTGTAGGGAGATGCAGACAAGTCAGTTCAATCAATCAATCAATGTCAACATAGGACCAGGCATTACTGTGTAACGGTCCGAGTTGCCACAGCTCATATCAGATATCGAGGAACATCCCTGAAGAAACCTTTGTGGAAGAACACTGGAAGTCTTTGAAAGAGATATGGAAAGAAACCTGCATAAACGTATTAGGAAGGAAGAAGAAAGAAGATAAGGAATGGAATGGATCTCGACGGATACATGGAAGCTGATAGAGCAGGAAGAGAAGGATGGTGAAGCAGAAGATAAACCAGTGCAGTGCAAGGATGCACAATGAGAAGAGGAACTGAGTACAAGGTATAAAACACTACGCTGGACAAAGAAGTGAAGAAGAGTGCACGGAAAGACAAAAGACACTTCCACGACACACTGGCAAGTGAAGCAGAACAGGCTGTCGGCTAGTAGGAGAGACAGAGGCCTGAAAACATTGTATCAAATAACCAGGTTACTATCTGGGAAGAGATCAACACGGCACAGATGAAACCAATAAAAGATGATGACGGAAATCTAATTACAAAAGAAGAGAAACAAAGGAAACGATAGGCCGCCCACCTCAAGAAGCTCTTGAATCGACCACCACCACCACCTGCACTTCGTCCAGAAATACCACCTGCAGCCCAGCCACTGAACTACAAGTGAACATAAATCCTCCAACAAACGTCGAATAGACTGGCTGCATTCAGGAAGTACAAATTATGTGCGGACGAAATTGCAACGCTTCACTACGCATCATCATCAATGAACGGAGTATAGAATGTCAGTCAACTGTACCTGTACCTCAACTTCATCGACTTTGAGAAGGCGTTTGACAGCGTCGACCAAGAAGTAATTTGACAGTTGCTACTTCAACACTACGGAATACCGCAAACCTTTATCAGCCTGATTCAACAGGTAAGCTATCTGAAGACGCCACATGGCAAGTGATTCACAATGGGGAGCTGAGTGACGCCTTTGAGGTGAAGTGAAGGGAGGAGTGAAACAAGGCTGTCTACTATCACCCATGATGTTCCTGATTGTAGTGGACTGGATCATGCAACAAACTGTGAGGAGCGAGAAGAGGGGTATACACTGGAGTGGGGAGAAGATCCAAGAAGATTTGAAATTCGCCGATGATTTGTGTCTGATGTCTTGTGGCGCAAACTTGAAGATGTACAGGCGAAAACTGACAAGTTTTCAGAAGAGGCAATGAAGACGGGACTTCAAGTGAATATGTAGAAGACGGAGGTGATGAAGATACCCAACCAACAAGAACATCAACAAAAACAAGCTGCAATCACCATTAACGAGAGAAACCTAAAGGAAGTAGTCTCTTTCACCTATCTAGACAGCATCGTTTCAAGTATAAGCGGCACAGGCACAGATGAGGATGTCGAAATGAGGATCGGAAAAGCAAGATAGGTGTTCATTAGCCTGAAACCAACGTGGAGATCTTCTGCACTCAGCATTTGGAACAGGATGCGGATTTTCAACACGAAATCAGTCAAATGATTGCTCGTGTGTGGTTGAGAGACTTGGCGCGTTACGAAAGGCATTTCTAAGAAACTCTAGACATTGATGAACAACTGCGTACACTGGCTCGTTACTAAAGCTCAGATGGATTGCCAGGAAGAAAAAGCAAGGAGGAAGTCTAGCTGGCTGTCTGGCTGGCAACGAACTTGTGAGGCGAGAACCTATAACTCAAGAAATATGCAGAAGAGGTAAGTGGAGATGTATTGGGGATACTCTGAGAAGGCCGACTGGAGGCATCAGGCGCCAGGCCAGTTAGTTGAGTGGAACCTGGATGGGAAGCGACGAGTTGGTCGTCGGAGATGAGGGTGACATGGAGGAGATGGTGCGAGGAGGAAATGAGAGGTTGTGGGCTGTCGTGGAGCCAGGTTGAAAGGATTGCGGAAAACATAGTGCAATGGAGGTGTGCTAGTGAATCCCTATGTTCCATTAGGAACCCAAGGGACAAATAATGACGTAGGAAGGTGGTGAGGTGAAAGATGAAGATAAGAGAATGCAATCAAAAGAAATATAAAATACTAAAAGAGAGAACGGAAGAATGAGAAAGTGGTGAGATTCGGTATAGCGTCGTTAAGATGAAGATAATGTGTGTATACATCTGCGCCATTGACGTCGGTTGTGAGCCATATCCCCTAGAGTCTCCAACCACTAGTTCCTCTTGTCCCGCGGACCCTAACCACCTAGTCTACATCGCCTTACATGGCTTAAACTAACAGTCGAAGACTTCATACATTGATGCAATGTTTTAGTCTGGCCAAGTCAGTTAGAGTCCGTGGGACAAGAGAAATCATTGGTTGATGACTATCTCTGGGTGATATGGTTCAGAATCAATGTTACCAAACTTCACTGAATTTTTTATTTTTCTCATTCCTCCTTCTTTTCTTTTAGTGCTTTCTACTACTTTTAACCGACGGAACAAACCCATTGAATCATAGAGGAAAGAAAGAATAACTCAGTAAGGAAAATTGTCTTTTTCGACGATATCTCACCATTTTCTCATTCTTCCTTTCTCTCTCTGTTATTACTTTATATCTCATCCGACTGAATTTTCTTCGCTTCATCTTCCAATTCACTGCCCTTTTACTTGATGTAGTTACATGAAGTGTGGCAACGCGGGCCGTTATGCAGTAATCCCTGGTCCTATGTTAATCGATGATGATGATAATAATAGCACGTTGAGGTAGGCAGTGTGGCTCGGTATCAGCATGTTCACGTGTTCAAGCCACCCTTATCCGATGAAGATTCATGTCATAATAAATCCACTCGCCTATCCTGCGTAGTACCCTTCGACTGACCAACAACTATTGAAATAACCAATTACTGTAATCGTCATCATCAATATCAACATAGGACTAGGCGTTATTGCGTAACGTTCAAAATTTCGCTACACCTATTTCAACATATCAAACAACAAGATAATGATTCTAGGTAAGAATTTATCATGGAGTAAAATCAGTTGGAAGAACATTGGAAATCTGAGAGCACTGAACATCGCCAGTTTCGTTCTAGTATAGGACTCCTCAGAAGTGAGCACTCATGCATCCCCCGCCCACTGCAACAGGGATTCAACCCCACGACATTCAAGTATCATGGCCAGCATGTGACCATTGAGCTGGTCACTGGTTCGGCGGATTCAAATGCTCCATACTTCCTACTTCTATCACCTACATTCAATGTCATCATCGACTTGTTTGATTGACTCTACTGATCACGACTTCTTACTGGAACTTCACGAATCACCTCTCGAAATTAGTCACCAATAAGTGATAGATGAGATGAAAAATGAGGAAATGAAGAAGAACAACTGGTTAGAAGTAGAGATAATTCAAGTAAAGAAATTTTTCTAGACCTGTACAATCGTTTATGTCATAAACAAGAATTAGAAGAATGTACACGAGTGATACTATCAAAGATGAATTAGACAAACTACAAAAGATCCTCATGCAAAATGGATATCCATCCAAATTAATTGATAAGAACTTGAAAGTAAATCAGAATACGGAGTGAGTACTCACAGTTCCAAAGAAGATTTCGTTTATGAACGTTGATTTCAAAGGTGATATAACAGCAGAGATGTTGAGGAAATCAGCTACCCAGATCACTGAAGAAGACATTCTTCGTTGAAAAGCTGCAGATCAACTTCTTTAGTCAGCAACTGATTCCGGAGTGCGCTAAGAACAAATTGCCACTTTGGGTCATCATCTCAATGTGTGTGTGTGTGTGTGTGTGTCTACAAATATACTTGCTCCTGTGGAGCACTATCCTGTATGGTTTTCGAGGTAACACGTGTCCCAGTCAGCCATCTCAGTCGATGAAGGTTCACAACCTCGTCAACCCACTTACCTCTTCTTCCCGAAACTCTACACCTGACTTCTACGTTACTCACGTGGTGTGGTGATACCATGGAATACGGCCTATACTACGAAGGCATTGGTGGTCAACCATCTGAAACCTTCTCATATTTTCCACCTTGAATGGCTATGTTTCACAGCCATTAGAGTAGAACAGAGCGTACTGCTGTGCAGCACATGCGACCCTTAATAGACAGTCGGATATTGTGGCGGTGCTACAGGTGGCGTAGGTTGACAGAAGCCAACTGAGCTTTTTGTATTCGTGCAGAAATTTCATCAGGCACTGAGCCACCAGGGCAGGGCTAATCCCACTTCCCAGGTTAGTGAAGTGGTCGACACACTCAACCACTACACTCACTGTCTATTGTTAGCCGAGACACAGTTGATGACTAATCCTGGAGCAACAATTTGCTATGCTAGAGGAAGCTAAATTCGGTTTGAAGGAATGTTCAGGTTAACCAAACCAAGACATCTCGCTAGTCAATAAGGTCCTCAATTGTTGGTCTGTGCTGTGTACAGAGCGATGTTGACTACCTGACTGAAATTTCTATGACGATAGGAATCTGTGACTGAGGATTCTTGGCGCCATGGTTGAAAATCGGTCATAGTATGGTTGCGTGTAAGGTTCAACGTTGATTTTGTCTATCTATCTGTACAGTTGGCTATATATTTATGTTGTCACTGTTGACCCTTGTTCATTTTTTTGTTTCCTATTAATTTAGATTGTACAATTGAAACACATACAGATTCCTTGTTATTTCAACCGAATCAATCATTACACATTGTTTATCCTAATGATTTCTCCTATTCATCGAATACAGATCAACTTCATAAGGAGTTGAATTCAAGTCCTACATTGAGTCAAATTTTAGAGGTACGCTGATATTATTATTATTATTTTCCCCTTGGGTTTCTAGTGGATCATATGGCTTCAGTAGCACACCTCCATTGCACTATGTTCTCTGCAATCTTTCCAACCTCGCTCCACGACTGCCCATCAACTTTCATTTCCTCCTCACACCATCTCCATGCCACCCTCGCCTCGGACGACCAACTCGTTGTTTCCCATTTAGAATCTACTTGATGGCTTGGACTGACTAGTGATGTCCCCGTATGGTCTTCTTAGTGTATGCCCAATTCATCTCCACTTCCCCTCCTCTGCATATTTGTTGGGCGATGGGTTCTTGGTTGGTTCGTTGCCAGTCAGAGTTCCTCCTCGCTTATTCTCATTATTCTGGCCATCTCATCTCCATCTTCCGCATAGAGTGAGCGTAGGCGGCAGCTGTTCATATATGATGTCTGTAGTTTGTTGAAAATGCTTTTCCTAACGCACCATATCTCTCAACTATGACATAGAAGCACTGACTTGAGTGACTAAGTATGGAAAATCCCGATTTTGTTCACGCTTTGTGGTGGGTGCAGTGCAGTGCAGTAGATCTCCACACTGATTTCAGGTTAATAAACGAATGCCTGTCTTGCTATCTTTCCGAAATTGGCTGGTTATGACGTCGTCATGTGTGCCTATGCTGCTGCCTGTAGTTGTAACCATGCCGCCTAGGCAGGTGAAAGAGACAAGTTCCTTCAGATTTCTCCCGTTGGTGGTGATCGGTGCTTGTTGTTGTTGTTGGTTGGATATCTTCATCACCTATGTCTTCTCTACATTCAGTTGAAGTCTCATCTTTGCTGGTACTGTCTATTCACAGGGAGAATTGATTAAACAAGTTTCGTATACTGCTTTTTTCTTGCTATTGTTGTTAAACTGCATTAATTTATTGTTATAGCGTGTCGTCCCCATCGTGACTCGTCAGTAGTTAGATATACCTGTCTTCCCTTTGCCACAATCATTCCTTATACAATGAATGTATTACGGTGGTTGTTTTGAACAAAATCAATCGATCGATCATTATCGATTATTACTTCTAAACTCCAGTCACTGACAATATCCAGGCTTCCTATCACCAATGGATAACTACAGGTTATTGCATTGCACTACATCCATCTCACAAGGAATAACTCATTAACTTCAGTGGTGGCGTCCAGCTTCAGTGTGAACGTTTTCAATCATTTAGGCTTGGTGACATCTTCAGCAATAACTTCATATAGAGGAATGAAGCATATTCAATTCCTAGACAAAACTTTACATGTTCATTTTGTCGACTTTGAATGTTGTCTAATTGTAAGCTGGGGAAGAGATTTCTCACTACACAATCTACCTCTTTGACCTTAAATTTCTTTCAGTCATACTGGTAGATAATCTTTATTGGAGTGAAATTGTGCTGCTGAATGGATGAATGGATTTCTTCTTGAGTAGATTGTAGATTGGATCAATATCTATATGTCTGTTGATTAACGTTTCTGGCGAATTTCCCCATTTTCTCAGTCGAATTTGTGATCATGACTAATTGTCTATGTGAATCGAATGGAAATGAAACATCATGTCGCTTTACTGCTAGGGTTCATGAACTGAGAGAAGTAGGAAATATGGACCGTTCGAATTGCACCTCGTCCCTCAACCGTAAGGTACTGACCACGAAACCTCAAGTTCCTGGATTAGATACCCCTTCGGGATGGGCGGGATCATAAACACACACTGGTGAAGAGTCCCAAGCAAAGTATTAAGCCGCATCATCCTGGAGAGATTAAAGGATGTGCTGGATTCAAAACTATGACTGGAACAGACTGGCTGTATTCAGGAAGTACAAATTATGTGCGGACGAAATTGCAACGCTTCACTACGCATCATCATCAATGAACAGAGTATAGAATGGCAGTCAACTGTAACTGTACCTCAACTTCATCGACTTTGAGAAGGCGTTTGACAGCGTCGACCAAGAAGTAATTTGACAGTTGCTACTTCAACACTACGGAATACCGCAAACCTTTATCAGCCTGATTCAACAGGTAAGCTATCTGAAGACGCCACATGGCAAGTGATTCACAATGGGGAGCTGAGTGACGCCTTTGAGGTGAAGTGAAGGGAGGAGTGAAACAAGGCTGTCTACTATCACCCATGATGTTCCTGATTGTAGTGGACTGGATCATGCAACAAACTGTGAGGAGCGAGAAGAGGGGTATACACTGGAGTGGGGAGAAGATCCAAGAAGATTTGAAATTCGCCGATGATTTGTGTCTGATGTCTTGTGGCGCAAACTTGAAGATGTACAGGCGAAAACTGACAAGTTTTCAGAAGAGGCAATGAAGACGGGACTTCAAGTGAATATGTAGAAGACGGAAGTGATGAAGATACCCAACCAACAACGAAAGCAACAACAAGCTGTAATGAGCATGAACGAGAGAAACTCAAAGGAAGTAGCCTCCTTTACCCATCTGGGCAGCATTGTTTCAAGTATAAGCGGCACAGGCACAGATGAGGACGTCAAAGCCAGCGAAGATCGGAAAGACAGTAAGATACGCCTTCCTTCATGAATCTGAAATCAGTGTAGATATCTACTGCACCCAGCATAAAGCGGGAATTAGATTTGGATTTCCAACACCAATTTAGTGATTTCACTGCTTCTATGTGATGATTTAGAGACTTGGCTTGTTACGGAAACCATCTCCAACAAACTACAGACATACATGAACAGCTGCCATCTACGCTGGCTCGTTACTGAAGCTGAGATGGCCAGAAAGAATTCGCAACAAGGAACTTTGACCTGGTGACGAACCAACCAAGAACCTATTGCTCAACAGATATGCAGTAGAAGAAAGTGGAGACGGATTGGGGATACGCTGAGAAGGCCGCTTATGGACATCACGCGCCAGTCACTTTAGTGTAATTTAGATGGGAAACGGCGAGTTGGGCGTCTGAGGGTGACATCGAGGAGATGCTGTGAGGAAGAATTGTAACCTTCTGCACAGTGTTGGAGCCAGGTTCAAAAGATTGTAGAGAATAGAGTGGAATGGTGACGTGCTACTGAAGCCCTTTGTTCCATTAGGAACCCAAGGGACTAATAATTATTTTTGTTATTTGTCCCTTGGGTTCCTAATGGAACATAGGGCTTCAGTAACACACCTCCATTGCACTATGTTCTGTAAAATGTCTTGAACCTGGCTCCACGACAGCCCACAAGCTCTCATTTGCTCCTCTCACAATCTCCTCCATGTCATCCTCATCTCGGACGACCAACTCGTCGCTTCTCATTGAGGTTCCACTCAAGTAACTGTCCTGGCGCCTGATGTCCCAAGTCGGCCTTCTCAGTGTAGTGTATCCCTAATCCATCTCCACTTCCCTCTTCTGCATATCTCTTGAGTGATAGGTTCTCACCTCACTGCTTCGTTGCCAGCCAGCCAGCCAGCCAGCCAGCCAGCCAGCCAGCCAGCCAGCCAGCCAGCCAGCCAGCCAGCCAGCCAGCCAGCCAGCCAGCCAGCCAGCCAGCCAGCCAGCCAGCCAGCCAGCCAGCCAGCCAGCCAGCCAGCCAGCCAGCCAGCCAGCCAGCCAGCCAGCCAGAGTTCCTCCTTGCTTATTCTTTCTGGCAATCAATCTGAACTTCAGTAACGAGCCAGTGTACACAGTTGTTCATCATTGTCTTTAGTTTCTTAGAAATGCCTTTTGTAACGCGCGAAGTCTCTCAACTATACACGAGCACTGACTTGACTGATTTAGTGTTGAAAATTCGCATCTTGTTCCGCATGCTGAGTGCAGATCACACTGGTTTCAGTTAATGAAAAGAGAGTCATTAGTTTGTAAGTTATTATAAAAAACCATCATCATTCCTATGGATGTTGTGAACATGAAGGAATGAGGGAATGGTGAATATGATGCAATCCATGCATTGACACACAGTCACATACCACAGGATGGATGGGATAAAACGACTGTACTTAACTCCAATTTAACTAGGTGGAGAGAGCGAAAGGTGGGGGTTGATTACTGAATGTTTGTTCATCGAATCAACATACACCCACCAAATGTGTGTGATCGAAATGATGCAACAACTACATGAGAAGATTTTTATTAGGAATAGAATCACAGAATATGAGATAGGTGATCCATCCATCCAGACCAACCTAGGACCAGGCATTACTGTTTGACGGTCCAATTTGCCACACCTCATTTCACTACATCAAGTAAAAAGGCAGTGAGGTGCAAGATGAAGATAAGGGAGTTCAGTCAAAAGAAATATAAAGTACTAAAAGAGAGAAAGGGAGAATGAGGAAATGATGAGAATCGGTGCAGCGTCGTGTGTGTGTGTGTGTGGGGATACATGTGGACCACTGACATCGGTTCTCAGCCATCACCTAGAGTCTCCAACCACCACTGGTTCCTCTTGTCCCGCGGACCCCAACCACCTAGTCTGCATCGCCACCCCACGTAGCTCGAACCAACAGTCAGAGACTTCATACATTGGTGCCATGTTTTAGTCTGGCCACCTCGGGCATTTTTCCAGCCTGGACCCACCTCAGCCAACATTGTGTGACGAGGCAATCGATGACTAGGCATACGTAGTACGTGTCCAAACCATCTTAGTCGATGAAGGTTCATAACCTCGTCAACTGACTTCCCTTTTCTCTCTAAAACTCTACACCTGACTTCTGCGTTACGCACGTTGTGTGGTGACACCACGGAATACGGCCTATACTACGAAGGCATTGGTGGTCAAACACCTGGTAGGACTATAAAAATCAGATGTCGAAATTTGTATGTGATTACATTGAGATATGATTATGAGCAATAAATAATTTTTGCTGCAAACATCGTCATCAAGTAAACAATACTGTTTGCTGTTTATCGAATAAACAAATCTCATACGGAAATGCAAGTTTTCCCCAGCCAAACGCTTTTCATATATTTCCTTTAGACGCTGAAAATCAGTTTTGAAAAATGAGTAAGGAAGTAAAATACTAAGCCATATCATTTTGAAGAGACTTAAA